TAGGGGGAAAGCTCTCAGTTTTTCCCCATTGAGGATGATATTAGCGTTGGGTTGTTCATATATGGCTTTTATGATCTCGAGGTATGCTACTTCTATCCCTACTTTCTTGAGGGTTTTTATCAAGAAAAGATGTTGTATTTTGTCAAATGCTTTCTCTGCATCTATTGAGAGGATCATATAGTTCTTGTCCTTTCTTTTATTGATGTGATGAATCACGTTAATTGTTTTGCGGATATTGAACCATCCCTGCATCCCAGGTATAAATCCCACTTGGTCGTGGTGAATAATTTTTTTAACGTATTGTTGGATCCTGTTGGCTGATATCTTGTTGAAGATTTTTGTGTCCGTTTTCATCAGGGAAATTGGTCTATAGTTCTCCTTTTTATGGGGATCTCTGCCTGGTTTTGGAATCAAGGTAATGCTGGCTCCATAGTTTGGAAGTTTTCCTTCCATTTCTACTTTTTGGAACAGCTTCAAGAGAATAGGTGTTAACTCTTCCTTAAATGTTTGGTAGAATTCCCCTGGAAAAGCCATCTGGCCCTGGACTCTTGTTTTTTGGCAGATTTTTGATTACTAATTCAATTTCCTTACTGGTTATGGGTCTGTTCAAATTTTCTGTTTCTTCCTGTCTCACTTTTGGTAGTGTATATGTTTCTAGGAATTTGTCCATTTCTTCCAGATTACCCATCAGGTCTCATATTTAGATCTTTAATCCATTTTGAGTTTATTTTTGTGTATGGTGTAAGAAAGTCCAGTTTCATTCTATAATTCCAATTGTTAAGTAAATAAATATAAGGCTGTTCTGGTTATCTATTTTTTCTTGGATGAGTGTTGACAGCTTTTGTCCTCCAAGGAATTTATTAATTTCATCTAAGTCATCAGATTTATTGATATAAAATTTCCATAATATTTCCTTATTCTTCTTTTAATATAGCTGTAGAATCTGTAGTAATGTCAACTTTCTTATTTGTGATATTGGTAATTTGTGTCTTCTCTCTGTTTTTCCAATCAGTCGTGTTAGAGTTTTTCAGCAAAAGGATATGCCCCCTTCTTCTTTACCAGTATGGGGAAATTAAAAAAAAATGTTACCAACATAGCAAGAAAATAATTATATCTCAGCCAAGTGTATTTCTTTGCTATCCATATCTTTATTTCTGCATCATAATTGTTTTCAATTATATAATTATTATTTTATTGATGCTTTTATAAAGGGAGTCTTCAATCATGAAATTTTTATTGAATCCCTCCTTTGTGCCAGATAGTAGCCTAGTAGCCTAGTTCTGGAGTCCTCAGATGAATTAAAACCTAGTCCCTGTGTAGTTCCAGTGTGGCTGGAGCAGCGCAACCAAAAGCAAGAGTGGTATGAGATGAATTTGAAGGTATGGAGGGAGAAGGGGGAAGCTTTGTTATACAGGGCTTTGCTGATCTTGAAAGGACTTTGGCTCTGACTCAGGGTGAGATGGAGAGTCATTCCATTGCAGAGAATTGGGCAGAAGGGAGTCAGTTCTGTCTTGTATCTTCATAGGATTATCTGGATATTCTGCTAAGACCATATTGTAACAAGGCAAGGGCAAAATCCAGGAAGCTATTGCAATAATCTAAGCGAGACAAGAGATGATAATGTTTTGATCACTGTAGTAGTGGTAGCAAAGATTGTGAAAAGTGATGGGTTCCTAGATACATTCTGAAGGTACTGACCCCACTGCACAGGGTTGTGTGTACATGAGTGGTGGAAGCAAAGCTGGAGGGGGGTGGGGGCCACATTACAAACTCCTTTGTGTGCCAAGCCATGAGGTTTATATGTCATCCTCAGGCAATGGGATGCCACTTATTAATTTTAAGCAAAAGAGTTACATATCGTACTTTATCCTAGAAAGCTGATTTGATGGCAGAGTTGAAAGGGCTGTTTTGGAGGTAGTGAGACCTGCTACGAGACTCTTGTCAATATCCAGACAGGAGAGAATGAAGAATTTAACAGAAACAATAGCTATCTAGCTATCACAGTAGAGAGAGGGAGTAGTTATGTATTAGTTTTCTATTGCTATGTGACAAACTACCATGAACTAAATGGCTTAAAATGACACATAGTTATTAGTCCACATTTTCTATGGGTTTGGAGTCCAGGTAGGCTTAGGTGGGTCCTCTGCTCAGGGTGTCCCAAGACACTTAATCAAGGTATTAGTTGGGCTGTGTTCCCATCTGAAGGCTTAACTGGGGAAAGAGTCCTCTTCTAACTTCATTCAGGTTGTTTGAAGAATTCATTTCCTTGTGTTTGTAGGACTGAGGGCCCTGCTTCATGCTGGTTATTGGCTGGAGGCCACCTTAAGCTCCTAGAGGCCACCTGTAGTTCCTTGTCATGTGGGCTTTCTCAACATGACCTATTTTTTCATCAAACCAGCAAGGAGAATCTTTAGAATGAGTCTGTCAGCAAGATGGAATCATATAACATATGGTAATCGCAGGAGTGACAGTCCATCATCTGCGTCATATGCTATTTGTTAAAAGCAAGTCACAAGTCCCACCCATACTGAAGGGTAGAAAACTCCAAGTTCTAAAGACCAGAAAATGGATCATTGAGGGTAATCTTAGGATGTATTCACTATAGACCATGCAGAATGCTGAGAACATGGAATGGACCGAATCTAAGATCATTGGCTGTGAGCGGGAAAAGAAAAGAAAAATAAAGGATAATGCACATTCTTCTAGTTTGTGTGCTTGGTGGATTGTGAGGGCCCTTCACCAAGATAAGAAACAGAAGGAGGAGTTAGTTTAGGAGAATAATGAATTATCTCAAATATGAGGGCAAAGACATTACTTTTACTACCATTTTTTAATCAAATTATTCTCTATTAAAATGAATCAAACTCAATAAACCTTAGCCACAGGTCTTGATTTCCCTGTTCAAAACAAAACAAAACCAAACAAAACAAAAACCCACTTGATTCTCACAGTCCAAGCCATATGCTATGTTACTGAACCAATAGGGAGTTTCTGAATATATCTGGGTTTTTCTGTGCCTATAATGAACTCTTGCAAAGCTGGGAGGCTGAACACAGAAATGGTGTATCTGAAGGAGTGTCACTGATTTCAGGTAGAAAATCTATTTTTAGAAAATGAAATCATCTAAAAATTCTGTGTTTATATGTAATTTGCCCACTTAAATCTGCTTTAAAATGTATGTATTTCTTGTAAAGGAAGCATCTTAATACAACTTTGTGGTTAGAGAGAATGTTCTTTATTTCAACCTTACCAAAGGGTTTAGGGACTGTGCAGAAACAGAAGGGGGGGGAAAATAAAGATAAAGCCATGTTCTGTGCAACTGATTACTCGGAGGAATTAATAAAATTCCACATGGATGGATGGATTCTGTGATCAGGTTTATTGAGTTCAAACAGTATGTAGCTAGAAACTACCAGACAAGTCTAGGTGGTTAAAGTGGAAGTATTTGGGGGAAGTGAACATGTTGTTGGTTAAAAGAATCAATTTAGGAAGTCACACTTTAGGTATACGGAATGACTACATTCGTTTCTAGGTCTTTCCTGCCTCACTGGCTGTCCATGAAAGCTTGTGATTGTTATTGAAGGGGCTCATTTGTCATAGTTGGTTCCTAATACATCTCCTAGTGCATCTTCCTTTGCAAGGAGCTGCACTGTGAGGACCCAGAAGAACCTTCTCACAACCTGGGGTTTGGCTAATTTAGCCAAGCAGAACTTTTTCAATGGCAAATGGCAGAAAACCCAATGTAAAATCACTTAAGCTATTAAGCACTTGGTCCACAGTGAAGGGTGGATCTTGTCAACTTCAGGGGCAGCTGGTTTAAGTGGCCTAAACAAAGTCACTAGGATTTGGTTTCTTGGTGGCCATGTGGCAAGGGTAACCAGACCTTCTATCTTCTTGTCATCAAATCTAGCAGGAAAGACTCTGTCCCCTCAATGCCAAACATTCATCTTTCTCATGACTCTCGCTGGCCTGGAAGGAGTCACACCTCATTCTCTGAGTCAATCACTATGATCAGGAGAATGTCATCTCTCTGATTGGCTAAGACCAACATGTTTTATCTGAGTGAGCTCTGCCCAAAGAATGTTGCTTCGCAAGGGAAATTTGGGTACAGTTTTTACCAGATAAGTGGGTGTTGGGTGGTAAACACAGGACAAAGTCCTCTTCGCCCCAGAAGTGTGCCTATTAATTGAGCCAGAAATTTGTGTACATGGCAGCACAATTGCCAATGACATAGAAATATCAATTATTTCCAGATATGTACCTTACACCTTATTCTTCCCCACACATTCATACACTTAGTTTGACTGAAAGCTAGTTAGAAGAGGTTCCGAAATATTCTGTTGCTTTATGTGTAGGCAAAACCTCAGATCAATAAGGGGAGAAAGCCCATGTCATATACATGAAAGGGGAGAGGATAGCCTCCAGATATAACAATCCACTGGGTACCACCAATTAATTTATGCATTAGAGGTTTGGAGAGCATTCTCCTTAAAAGAGAGAGAGATGTAAGACTGCTCATAAGGGATCCCCAGTGTATTAGGCCTGAGAAGAGGAGTTCTATATTTGGATGGCAAAAGGAAGTGAATTAGCAACTTGGATTGGCGCAAGAAAGAGCAGTGCTGGCCTGGAGAAATCCCCAGTGGTACTTGGGATGCTTCGTTCAGTTGTTCAGTGTTTCACTAGCCATACCAATAGCATAGTTAGACTTTGTTCCTTTAGACAAGCCATTTTGTTTCTCTTGTGGTATTTTCTTCCATCGTCTTTGGTTTAAATACTATCTCATTCCACTACTTCCCTCTTTCCATTCCACACCAGGCCTTTCACTGATGCCTGCCTGATAAAAGGCTCTACATCTGATATTAACCTAAAACTTCCTTGATTCCTTAAAGTGAGTTATTCATTAACGGAAGCTAAGTTACTGGTTGTTAGGCAAATCTTCTAATACTCCCTCTCAAACTACCGACCTGCTCAGAGAAGCTCCTGTAAACCTACTGTAGAAAGAGGTGAAGCTTTGTGCCAATTGTTAGCTTTAAGCAGAAGGCTGGGAGAGAGAGAGGAGAAGTTACTCATTTGCCCGATTCCACACGGTGAGTCCAGGGGAGGGAATCAAGTGTACAGCCAGCCTGACAAGCAGTGCAGGGAAGCACGGCGCCTGCCAGCAGGACAGGACAGGACAGGAAGGGGCAGGGGCTACCGGGCTGCCTCTGAGCATGGTCATGGGTTCCAGCCGAATTACTCTAAAGATCAAGCATTCTGCCTTCTATTTCCTATGATGGCCAGAGTTTCCTGTGCTAAGAGGTATGGCTATCTTTTCCCCTGTCCTTTTGTTCAGCAAAAACAAAAGCTAATTAAAGTAAATGTCAGCAGCTGCAGTGATGAAGGAGTGGGCTGCGGGAGTGGGGCAGAGAAACTTCCAGGGGCTGGCTGATTATGCAGATAAAGCACATTTGGGAGTTGTGTGTCTAGCCCTGTATGCATGCTTTTCGGTTATTAGGGTAAAAAAGCCACCTCTCTGTGGGTTATTAAAACATGTCTCTAGGCCTCAGGAGCAGAAATTTGTGCTTCTAGATTCATAGTATGTGCATTGTGGTTTTATTCCTTAACTGTCTGGGCTCATTTCTATTTCACACTTTTGTTTACCTCAAGAAACATCTTACAACCAGCAAAGAAGCTGGCCCTGCCTATGGTTTTCAAAGAAAATTCAAGCATCTTTCCAGTCAGTGGGTTGAGCAGTCACCATTACTGTCATTTTTTCCTTTGATATTTATTTCAGTTATCTTATAAATCAGTATTGAATCTAACTACTTTTTTGTTCTTCTAAATACATATTTAAATTGCTATAGTAACCAACCATTGGATTCCATGACATTTTAAATTGAAGCATGTATGTTTTCAATTTAAAGAATAGAAAAAATACTTAAGATATTATTTGAATTGGTCAATGCAGGTGTTTAGTATATGGAATTTAAATTTAAATAAAGACACATTTAACAGTGAATTTTCTTTGTAATTTGAGAGTTTGGGTATGTTTTCTGGGGAAAAAAACCCTACAAAATTGGAATTAAAAATTTTAACAAGATTTATATTAACTACTCATATTTATATTTATATAATATTTATTCAATTTATACAAAGATTTATATCAATTAGGAAAATATGACCTGCAAAGTCAAAATTTATGAAAATGGATACACTCTGAAGTCATTATTACAGATCGCAAATTCTTGGTTTAGAAAGTTTGTTAGACTTGAAGATGTTTCCCTCATTTCCAATGAAAGAAAGTATTTCCTATTTGTGCTTCAAGAAGTTGCGATATGTATTCAAAATAGAATATGTTTTTTGAACTGTTGCCTAAATAAGCCACCAAGCCTATTTTTGTATGTGCTTATGATAATTAGCCCGCTACAAACTTAGTATGAATTCTAGAAAAAGACCAAGGACTGAGTCCTTTAGCATCGTTTGGAACAACCCAGCCTCAGAGGCTTTCAGTAGAAGTGAATGTAGCAAGATGTCATGGCAGAGGAAACCGAGAGACGCACAGGGAACAATAGACATCTTGTGGGAAGGGCTGAAATGTATGCGGCCAATTCCCATGGGAACGCCTGTAGTTCTTTCACACTGTGTGAAAAAGATGCTCCTTGAAAAGAATCTTTAATCCTTTCTTTCAAAGGAAAATCTATCCGAGAACTTTATTTAAATTTTCTAGAACCCAAATGGGTCTAACCTAGTCAGTGGGCATTTATAATACAGGTGAATAAAATGAGAAAATTTTGATGCGCAGTAGTGTTATCCAAAGCATAACGTAAATAAATGTTGTTATTCTAGAATTTTCTAATGTGAAGAAACCAGGGAATACGAAGTTGGAAGCTAGAGGCTAATTTTCACAGAATAAATTGGCTTCCTGAGTTAATTATGTTTATTGAAACCTCCCAAAGAGCTTCAATTTTTTCCACAGGTGGTATCCCAATAGTGGTTCAATTAAGTCCACTGTTCATATGTATTTTTATTTAATAGATCTACCAGTGCATAGCAGAATAAACCAGCAATGTTTTATTAGTGCCCATTGAGTGCAGGTCACCTTGAAGAGTCCTAAAGAACTTTTCCCGCTGGTGCCCTAGAGGGAATTATACACTCCATCCTTGCCTATAAATGTGGGAGTGAGCACTACACTTACGTAGGAAACTCGGGTATTTGGATTACCCAGCCACAAAAAGTCTGAGATACATTGTATTTTAGTCCATTTCCACTCTGTAAAAAATTCAGTTACTGTTTAGCTATGGTTGAGGGGGTAAGGCTGTCTCTCCAGGGAACAAATTTGCCAAAAAACTAATATGGACACATTCAAGATAGTGTATAAACTACCCAGATTTAGGTTGGGGGGAGAGTACAATTAGGCTATAAATATGACCCAAATGGAAAAAGGACTTTATAAAAAATCTTTAACATGTGAACTCAGTGTTGGATAGCAGTACAGCAGTATATTAGCTCTTAGAAGGGATGGCATAGGGACATAGTACAGGAAAATGACCTATAAGAATAATGACATTATTAGGGATATGATTGCTGTTACTTCTTGTGTGGTTGCTATATGCTAGGTTCTGTGGTGAATGCTTTACATAATCTCATAAAACCTCCCAACAACCCATATCACAATCCTCAGGTGCAAATAAGGAACCTGAGGCTCTAGGAATTAATTGATCGACCCCAGTAATGATACAGCTGAATGCAGTTGTGTTTGCATTACCACACTCTTAACCACTCTGCTTTTCTTACTGGGTTTCCATAAAATGTGCAAATCTGGACACTACATTCCTTTAAAAATGGAAGAAAATTGGATAAAACCTAGCGATAAGAGCCATTAATAAGGAATGGAGAATGAAGAAGAGGGAAGCCTAAAGAGATACAGTCTGTTCCTTTAAAAGAGAAGACTGCATCACTATCTGTAAGCCAGAAAATTACCAGTGAAAGGCTACACCTGCTCATGGGTGCCTGGCTTCTCCATTTTTATAAAGAAAACTCTTAAAGAGAATTCTCCATATGTGGATGGCATAAAAGTATGATTGACCACCAAATGTCTAGAATGATTTACAAGGTCATTCCCCTGGGGCATATGACCTGGTTCAATGGTAGTGTGTGACCCCTCTGACCACATGCCTTTGTGGGGTAGCGCTCGCGGGAGTCACATCTTTGTGACCACACGGATGAATTTGTCTGCCGCACAGCTTCCTGTACGTTTTGCCAGCAAAGAGGTGATTTGATGGGCAGAAGACCCTCCATAAGGACAGATAAGTTGGGAGTAGAGAATAATACAATTTAAAAACATGTTTTTTAATGCACCATTAAGCACTGAAACCATTAAGTGTTAAGAGTTTCAGTACCTTTTCCTCCTCTGGAGTGTCAGCAAGATAAACATATTCTCTGAGCGTCGCTGCAATATTTAAAGTACAAATCTGACTTAAAGGGCAAATCCAAGTGGATTTTTATGAACCTCCCAGCAAATAGAGTGGAAAAAGAAGGTATGCATTTTTGTTTAGTAGTTTGTTCCTTTTAGCAGCAACTTTCTCCATCCTTACGTTTTCAACAATATTAATCTAGAGGCAGAACAAGAGGATCAGTGCTTTAGGAGCTGGGACACTTAGTGGACAAACGCTCTGTGTTTCAAATTCTGGGTGTGAAATCTTGAGAGGGAGGGAGGTGTTCATTAAGCCGCAGCCCTCTCTTCCCCAGGCTTTGTGAAATGGCTCCCAATAGTCATTCCATTCACCTGTTTGAGTTTCTGCTGAAACTGTGTCCTGCGTGGCTTTCTCTCCCCAACACCTCCCACCCCCTCCCCATTCTTCCCAGGGAAAGTATAGATTTTCACGAACACAGGGAGTTTTGTTTTCTCTGTTAAAAACAACTCTACTTTACTGGAGCAGGCTTTCTGTTTCACCCCAGGAAACAGAGCATTTCACTCAGAGGCGACTCTGCACTGGGTGAGGTGCAGCCTGTCACCTGACCAGCTCTGGAGCTGCCAGTGGCATCAGGCTGCATTCCTTGAATTCTTCACCCAGCACTACCGCCACCGCAATGAACAACTTCAGGTTCACTGAGCTGAGGGGATTCCATCTGCTGTGCCCTCGGAGTCCGCTGCCCGAGTCTCGCGCCCAGGCTCAAAACCTATAGCTGAGTAACAGCAAGCTGCCTGCCTTTGAGGAGTAGCACGCAGGTAAAGCCAGTTTGTGGGGACGGCTGGGACTCCCTGAAATGTGTCACCCTTGGTGCATAATCATTTTTTTGTGTGGTGTCTGCTTCTCCTTACAGAAACTTGACTTGCCAACCAATATCTGCTTAAAAATATATATTACAAATAATGAGTAAGTGGACTCCAATTGAGGGTCCCTTAAAGATTAAGGACAGAAATTAGGAGAGCAAAAGCTGGGAGTAAGAGGAATTTTATAAGCCAGTTTTTGTAATTCAAAAAGTACGAGATTTGGAAGCTGACCTACTTGGTGTGAATCTTGGCTCTGTGTGTAACCTTTGGCACGGTATCTCACCAGTCCTGTTTCCTCTTTGGTAATAATATCTACCTGCAGGGTTGATGGGAGAACTGAGAAGAAAGTATCTGGCAAAGAGCTTGGTGCATAGAAAGCATCTGAGGTGCACCCATATGTGCATTTGTGTACATATGTGTGTGCTTGTGTGTGTTTGGTGAACACGTGTATACAGGCATACAGGTCACAGGACTGTGGCGTTCATGAGGGCAGGGAATTTCTCAGAGGATGAGGTTGAATTTGATCTGTCGCTGACCTTCTCTGCCATAGCAGAGAGATCAACAGGAGAAAGAAGCCAGACACCTGAGCAAAACATTGACCAGAGCTGCTGAAAAATAAATGACATGCCTTGCTGATCCTTAGGCAGGAAGGGGGCAGTATAGTATACCATGTGGGGTGCTCTTTAAATGAAGACTGATGGAAGGGAGGCAGTTTAATAGTTATCACACATGGTCATGTACGCAACTGACAGGGCTTTGTTCTGGGAGAGCAACTGCCTTCGGTTCTGACTCTGCAACTTATTACTCCCTGGGTGTTCCTGGGCTGGTTGCTTTCCTCTCTGAACATCAGTTTCTCATCACATGGAATCGTCGTGAGAATTCAGTGACTCAATCCTTACGAAACACTCATAGTAGTGCCTGCCACATGGTAAACACCTGCTAAACATTAGCTGTTGGTGTCATTATTTGACAAGGGGCTCTTTCATGTGTTTTAGCTTTGATCTTCAAAACAACCTGGTGAGATAGACTAGGCATGTATTAGCCCCATTGTGCAGATGAAGAAATTGAGGCTCAGAGAAGGGAAAAGCACGAACCAAAGGTCCAACAACCAGAGTGACCAGGCTAGGACTTGAATCTCAGTCTGCAGACAAGCGTCTGACTTAGTATGTACACAGCACATGTACATCGAATGAAATCTATCCTAAAAATGTCTAGCCCAAACACCATTTCCTTCACAAAGTCATTCCTCATCATCTTTCCCTAGGAGAGATCTCTCTCTCCCTTGTACTTCCCCAAACTTCCTTTATAGTATACAAGAGACTTTTCTCTGGGTCATCCTTGTATTGTAAAATGTTTGGTGTAAGTGTCACCTCTCCCTACCCCACTTTTTAATGTGTAAAATTTCTCACGGATGGCAGTGTTTTGAACAATAATGTTTTGCACATTATGGACACTCAGTAGTGATAGCATGAATGTAGGACTTCATACCAGGTGTCATTGTAAGTGTGGAGAGTAAAGAACGAGCCCAGGGATGCCTGGGTGGCTCATTTGGTTGAGCTCAACAGGACTCTTATTTTCGGCTCAGGTCACAGTCTCACGGTTTGCGGATTTGAGCCCTGTGTCAGGCTCTGCACTGACAGTGCAGAGCCTGCTTGGGAGTCTCTTTATCTCCTTCTCCCCCCCACCCCCACTTGCTCTCTCAATCAAAATAAATAAAGGAAAAAGGAGCCCAGGAAAAACCGGGGGTGCTCCCCTCCACCAGCATGTATTTCTGGCCTCCTCAGAACTCCAGCTGCGATACATTTGGGACAGCTGAATGTGCTTCAGGAACAGCCAGCTATTGGCCAAGAAGCTGACTGGTCAAGGCGAAATCATATCCAGTGTCCGTCTAATATCTTATATTTCTGAATATTATTTCACTGAGACCCTGTCACTGTAAATGTCTGAGGCTACGGGGAGAATGCGTTAAGGGGAAAATTCTGTCCTAAGGGGAACATGCCGTCCTAATTTTCCCTGTAGATCTTGTAACTCGCCCTTCCACATTTGCCGGGGCACATACTTGTAGGGCTCTCTGCTCTCTCTCCACCCCATGGAATTCTCCCCCTCATCCCCAACTCTCCTGCTTTTCTCTTCCTCTAAGCTTCTGTTCCTTGTGACTCGCCTGCTGTCTGGTAGGCCTAAAGCCCGGGGCATAGAAGGGCAAGGATGCAGGGTCAGTGTAGGAGGAAAGAGAAATTCATTTTCATGCTTTATGACTCTACCGATATCTTCATCCTCAAATGTTAATAATGCTCTGAGGGTCTTTATTTATAACAGTAGCCTCACATGGAGCCTTATGTGGAACCAGCATACGATAGTGGTTATGAACTTGAGGGTCGCACTGGAATCTCTGGATCCAAATCCTAGCTGTACAGTTTACTGGCTGTATGGCTTGGGCAAGTTATCTAATGCCTTGGTTCCTCACCATTAAAATGGGAATGAAATATCCTCATATAGTTATTATGAAGGTTAAATGAGTTAATGTTTACAAAGCATCTAGAACAGCACATGGCATAGAGACAAGCATGTATAAGTATTGGGTATGATTTTTCTGAAGCTGGTGAGCAACACAAAAGTCGCACGTAGGCAATACTACCCTCCACTTCCCTTCAATGGCCTACAAACTGCACTGAGTGCCTGATGAAGGATTTGGCTTGCATTTAGAGACCATATTGCATGGAGAGAGTGTATCTTTAGCCTTTAAAATTGCATTCAGGGGGCGCCTGGGTGGCTCAGTCGGTTAAGCGGCCGACTTCGGCTCAGGTCATGATCTCGCGATCTGTGAGTTCAAGCCCCGCGTCGGGCTCTGTGCTGACAGCTCAGAGCCTGGAGCCTGTTTCAGATTCTGTGTCTCCCTCTTGCTGACCCTCCCCTGTTCATGCTCTGTCTCTCTCTGTCTAAAAAATAAATAAAAACGTTAAAAAAAATTTTTAAAAAAATAAAATTGCATTCAGCACACAGAGGTGCCCACACAGTGGGAGCTCAGAGGGGAGGTTTAAGATCACCCGAGGAAGCAGCAGACTCCCCTGTCCCTTTCAAAATCGTTCTGGGGAACACATTCAGAACGAAATGTTGGGCAGACTTGCCTATTGCTTATATTCTTATATGAAATAAGTCACCCTCAGCTGTTACTCTTTGCACGTGGGTCTTCATTTTTAAGTTACACGAGATGATTCCACTTCATTGTAAACCATAGGGGAAGCCGGCTGGCCTGAAGTCAGGGGAACAGCGCTCCTGCAGTTACTGTGGAGCCTTCGGGAAGTCATTAAATAAATGATTGCTAAGGTCTCTACCATTGCAAATGGTCCGTGATTTTATTAGGCCCAGAAGGGAGCTGATGAGAAAAATCAGATATTTAATTTGTGCCATTGCGCTTCTCTCTGTGGACTGTTAATTGAGTAAGAAGTATAGTGGGACTTTATTATTTCAACTGTGGGAGGAGAGGGAAGATTGCCTGATCCCAAAGCCCTTCCTCTTTACCCTGCCTTGCAATGCTGGGGGGAGTTTCTCTTGTCAGTGTAGGAAAGAAACCTGGCCAAGAAGGCAAGCACTGGTTTCCATGTCCAGGAAAAAAGAGAAAACCAGGCAGTGGGTGTTTTCTGTGTTCCCTCTTTCCTTTCATTGCCCTTTTCTGTTTGCTTTCCATGGGAATCTGGGGGAAATATGGCAAGGGTTGGGTGTCCACTTGTTTCCTTGTGGCATAGAATGACGGAGAAGGATACAGAAAGGAGAAAAATAAGTGTGAGGTTTAAGCAGCTTTTTAACATTCCTGTTAAATTCCAGAGAAACCTACACATTTTTGACAGGATCTTTCCGGGGGGAAAAGAAAATAAATAAGGGAAGAGCTCATTTGAAGATCACCAAGCCAGGATCTGTGACTCTCTGCACATTTCCAAACTGTCTTCCCTCTCTCTGCTAGGTGGAGAGGTTACATTTTGAGCCCATGCCATTCTACTAACAGCAACATTGTTTCATTTGTTTCTTTTCCAGAGAGTGTCAAAGAAGACCTCAAATTCTGGAGAAAAATGACCTTTCAAGGACTACAAAGTATATACTTCCTGCTGCATGTTTCTGTCTTACTAACCTGTGATAACTGAAACACGTGGTCCTGGGGCTGCCGAAGGTCAATTGCTTATCAAATTTCCCATCATGCATCAGCTGTTCAGACTGGTTTTAGGACAAAAAGATCTTTCCCGCGCCGGGGACCTCTTCTCTTTAGATGACTCTGAGATTGAAGACAGCCTGACAGAAGCTCTGGAACAAATTAAAATGATTAGCTCATCTTCCGTAAGTAAACTAGTTTTTAAACTAGGCTCCCAAAATGACTTATTCTAGGGCCAAAGGATTGTACGTATCCTGTGGTTTGAAAGGAACTTTGCAGGGGAAAGAGGAAAGACCACTTAATACTGGTTCCCTTAATACTGGTTCTGCTCTGTGGTTTAATTTGGCATCTAAGAGATAACACCAGAGCAGTCTTGATCTAGCGGGAGGCTAGGCTGCCTTTTGCCCATTCATGGAGATCAGAACTCTGGAAATTGCAGACCAGAGTGGAATTATCACAAAAGCTTATCTAAGGGCTGTTTCTCTATCCTTGAAATGACATGGAGAAGAGAGGGAGCAAATCCTGGGAAAAGCAGATCGGCCAACCTGCCAACAGCATCAGTAAACAAAGCAGGGTGTGTGGAGGAGGCTGAATAATGAAAGAAGGCAGGATGATGCCTCCTGCCGCATAGGTAACATAAGACAAGGACAAGGATCACTCTGTTGCCAGAAGTGACAGTTGCCCGGGGCTTGATAACACTGATTCTGTGTATTTCTATAGAATCTCCATTAAAAAAAAAAAATCTTACTTTTTTACTCCTTTTCCTAACCCCCTCCCCCATTTAATTCAACTCACTCATCATTAGCCCCCAGTGTGATCAGACAAATTTAAAATCTCCCTCAAGTCTCCCATTCCTTTGCTACTCTTCAATGTCAAGATTATATATTCTGAAAGTGCTTCCCTAAGAGGGTAGATGTGGAGTGCCCAGTGTGGTTTGATGTTGCCCTTCTTGGTTGTGCATGGGCCCTCCATGAGATCAGTCCCATTTCAAAGACCAAGTCTCCCAAGCATCTCTTGTGTCAACGGCATTTGCTAATACTTGGTGCAGACAGCCCCCAGGCAGACAGGAAAGAGACAGGACTTGGGCCATAAAATACTGAATTACCAAATGTGTACACATTTCAGAGATCACAGCTTCCTTCCACATTTTAATGTTTAAAAGGTGTACCAGCAACCAGTGCGGCTTCCTCCTCAAGACTGTCAGCGTGCTCACTTATTGGCCGCCAGGAACATACTAAATCCCCCCGGTGGCCAATGAAGTCATTGCCCACACACTCTTTTCTCAGCTAATGTCTTTGACAGCAATTATGTGTCCACATTTTTTTTTTTCAGAACATTAATCAACTTAGTCTGACTCAAAACACAAGTATTCCTGGTACATTTCCACTTTCTGGGCCATATTTGTGTGCTATTTCTAGCAGTCCCTTCCTTCACACTCCTGCAGAAATGAATTGGCTGAATATGACACTGAATTTCATCTAATCTAATACAAATATATATATACATATTCCCCTGAAGCCTGTTTCCACTAGAGGTCACTAGTGTCAGTGATTTCTTTTGTTTCCTTCATCAGTTGCTTATTTTTAACAGATGTCAAATTCAGAATTTTAGAACTGGTGAGTTCTGTTATGTGTCGCCACCTTTACCCATTAAGGCAGGCAGGTCCCCTGTCATCAGGGTGTCATCTGTCCCCTCAGATCAGCGTCCTACCAGGCAGATCTGGAGGGCCAGTCATTCTCCTGTGTTCTTCGCCTACTAACTGGTGTCACATCTCACTTCTTCCACTGCTCTATCTGTAACTGTGGCATGAGCAGATGGATGGCAGAATAAAAAGAATTAGTATTTAGAAGGATTGTGCAGATCGATCCATTTTTATGTCTGCTATTCAGTCCTAGTTATAAGCAAGTCTCAGTGTGGAATTCCTTCTCCCTTTCCATTCTTTTAAAAGCCAGTTCAAGGTTTATTATTCCTGAAATGACTTCTATGGTTCTAGTTCTTAGTGATTACTTCTCTCTAAAAATACATAGTTGCCCTTTTGCAGAGTATATAATTAATATATCTGTTCTTATAGAAAATCATCTATTCATATAACCTCCTGTAGTGAAACTTCTACATCCAAGATCTATGTTTCCAGTCTTGGCATCTCCCCCTAAGCCTCAAGCCCAAACTAGTTGATATCCATTATCTCAAATTCAATCTAAGTTAGAAGTTATCATCTTTCTTCCAGCTGTACTATCACTTTCTTAGATCTCCAGGTTTGCAACCTGGAGTCACTCTTGACCTTTTACTCTCACTCTCTCCTTTCCCTATTAGTTCTGTGGACACTCCTTGAGAAACGTCTCTTCCCTTTCTCCTTCTTCTCCTTTTCCTGAATTACCTTCTCCTTCTCCTTTTGCTATCACTCTGGCTCAGGACTTCAAAACAATTGATCTTCTTGCCTTTGGTCTTACTGTTCTCTGGTTCAATGTACTAGAAGTTACCTAATTAAACTTCCTAAAGAAGATTTTATTGCATGTCTCCCATTGTTTGAAACCTTCCCATGATGCACCAATGCCCATGACATTCAATGGCCATTGCCAGTGATTAGTCCACTGAACCACTATGTCTACTCAGTGGCTCACTTCCCTGTTAGCTGCATCCCATCTGTCCCTTGTTATGACTTTCCTAATGACCCTGAATCTCAGTAATCAATTCTACTTCTCAACTCCTTTGTTTGTTTGTTTGTCTGTTTGTTTCTTGTATCCCTAATTTTTTTAATTTTATTTTTTATTTTTTAAAATTTACATCCAAATTAGTTAGCATATAGTGAAACAATGATTTCAGGAGTAGATTCCTTAATGCCTCTTACCCATTTAGCCCATTCCCCCTCCCACAACCGCTCCAGCAACCCTAAGTTTGTTCTCCATATTTATGAGTCTCTTCTGTTTCACTCATATGGGGACTTTAAGAGACAAAACAGATGAACATAAGGGAAGGAGCGCAAAAATAATATATCAACTCCTTTTTAAAAACAAAGAACTTCCTTTTAAATCATCTTTGCCAACTTCCTTCTAGCATAGAAATCCCTTCTCTAGGATACCTGACAAACAGGTGACTTCTCCTTCTACATTTGCAGTGATGAGAACATAGTAAGTTTCTGATATTTCCCTTTGACAAATTTCCCTTTTCCGTTGCATGAAGCCTTGATGGAGCCTTTAGTCAAAGTTTTCTACCTTGCCCTTGCCAGGAGAGCAGAGAGGAAAGGAGTGGAGACACTGACTCGAGCTTTCTCCATAGTTCTAGGAAAGAAGTCAGCAGAGGGTGATTTGTCATGACAATGGTGCTCCAAAGAGATAGTCCTTTGCTGTAGTTTTCCACACTTTATCCATTGCTTATGGTCATAACCATAAAACCTACTAAGAGATAATATTCCACTGTCAGAATTTAAAATTTTTGGTGTGTTCCTCCTTCTGGCTAGATGAAATCTTGACAACTCAGGAAACAACAGATACTGGTGAGGATGCAGAGAAAGGGGAACACTTCTGCACTGTTGGTGGGAATGCAAACTGTTGCGGCCACTCTGGAGAACAGTACGGAGGTTCCTCAGAAAATTAAAAAGAGAACTACCCTACAACCCAGAAATTACACTACTAGGTATTTATCCAAAGGATACAAAAATGCTGATTCAAAGGGGGCACATGCACCCTAATGTTTATCGCAGCCTTTTGTATTTTCTATACATTGTTATTTGGTCTGTTCATTGCCCCAACAATCAAAAGAGTGTAACTCTGTTCCTGCGAGAACCTTAAATATAGAAAGATAGGTATAGGTATCAGGGCTCACCTGTAGCTTCTCTTTTCTCAGCTAAACATCCTTAATGTCCTAGTGTCCTTAGGTATTTCCATGACAAAGAAGGAGCCTATGGCAGAGAAAGGTCATACAACCTCCCATTTCCAGGTTTAGGTCTGGAAACTCAAATTTGTCAGTACATGATAAATACTATCCAAATGCAAGACTCAGAGGTATAAATTAGAGTGTTGACTTATTGATTTACAATGCAAATTATAACCCATGTTAGTCGGAATTATTGTGTGCTCTATGCTGTCCTTACCAAGTGCATTTACCCAGTCTTTCTCTAGACAATGAATATCACTATTGATTAGATTTCTTCCTCCTCTATTAGAATCACATTCCAGCCCTACCGCCCTATATTTAACTCACCTGTAGTCACTCATGTACAGATAGTATGATGGTTAGTCCAGTAGCTGGTCAATCCCACTCATGTAAGTGGATTTTTTCCCCCACTTAATTCTCAAAGGGCAATCTTGTTGCCAAATTCTTGAGGTGTCTCATTGTAGCTCCCAAGTACTGCCTACATCCTCAACATTCTGGCTTCTTTCCCTTGGCACCTTCCTAATTTACTTTTGTAATTTATCATTGCCCTGCACTTAAACCAACTGCTTAGAACAATTGCTGATACTAGTCAGATACTCTGTGTCTAAAATTTCTTTTCTACGGTAACATCTCACAGTTGGCCACTTTAATGTTATGATATACCAAAACCCTGAGGCTTAATCAAGACTTATAATTAGGTAACTTGAAAAACATTGTAGGTGTATTGTGTCACATTTTTAAACCATTGCAACAATATTGTTGTCTTTAGGCCCTCCTTCCAGGATATTCATACCTTCAAAAAATTATGATTCTGTCCGATATATTAGTTATTCCTATCTTTTTGGAATCTGAAAATTTGGCAAGCAAGTCTTCAATCCTTTTCCTAACATCACTCACAAAATAATTGAACCTTACTAGATTCCATTCTCCAGTCCATGCTCTCTTTTCCACCGGTTAGTCCAAAACACTGCTGGGCAATATTTTGTCCTTATGCTTTGCTTTGAAAGCGCATCTTCTCAAAATTCTCTCCAGGTCCCCAAATGTATCTTTAAGTTTCGTCTTTTCATTTTGAGTCCTTTCTGGACTGCTTTCCCCTAATAATCATTTCTTCTACTACCTTGGCTCTCCTCCCAGACTACTCATTGCTATCCACTCATCTTTTCCCACTCCCACCACCCTCATTCACCACGTTCCTTTTGCCTAATCCACCAACCCTATCTCTCTTTAACTTTTTTTTTTTACACCAATAAAAAATGTTAGGCATGCACGAATTGCCCAATTTTAAGAATTAGATAAAATTGAAATCATCTGC